GTGGCGTTTCCTGTCAGCTCGACGAGGACGGTTCCTGGAGCGAAGGCCGTTTGCACGCCGTTGCGGGTCTCGATGGCGCCATCGTTGCGGCTGTTGAGGCCCACGACTGCCGAGTTGAGTCGCTCGTAGACGTAGACGTTCGAGAACCCGTTGGGGTTGAAGGCGTCGTCGAGCCAGCGTTCTTGAAAATCGCCGCGGCCGTGGCTGTTGCGGATGTCGACGAGCTTGGTGATCGCGTCGCCATGGAAGCCGCCGAGGGCGTCGTTGCGGCCCGCATGGGGGAACGTCTCGCCGGGGATGGCGTCGGAGTTCATGTAAACGATCGACTCGCCCGGCAGCATCAGCGTGTAGGCGTGGGCGACGTTGCCGAGGGCGGCGCCGGTCGAGTCGTGGCTCTCGACGAAGGCGACGCCCTGGCTGCCGTTCATCAGTCCGTCGTCGTTCAGATCGACGGGCGCCTTCTTGATGTTGTGCCAGTTGTTCGCCAAGCCGTTCGACGTGAGGTTGTCACGCAGGGCGAAGAAGAGCGAAAAGTCGAGGACGTCGCGGTTGCCGCTGACGACGCCGGGGTTGTTGTTGTCGATGTCGCGGCGGATGAAGGTCTGCAAGAAGGCCTTGTTGCCGTCGAACGCCTCGCCGAACGTGTAGATGTGGTTCGGGCTGCCGTCGAGCAGCGGCGTCCGCTTGGCCAAGTACGATGCGGTGTCGAAGTCTTGCAGGTACTGCGCCTCGAAGTGCTTGATGGCGTCCATGCGGAAGCCATCGACGTCGTACTCCTGGATCATCCAGCGCACGTTTCGCATCAAGAGGCCGACCGCGTTCTCCATCACCGGGTCGCCGGCGAGCGGGTTGTCGGCATTGAAGTTGTAGAGCGTCGTCGGGTTACCGCGGCCGTCGATGACGTTGATCCCGCCGAGCCCTTGGTCGGGGTAGAGGCGGGCGTTGTTCGGGTCGGGATGGTTGAAGACCGTGCCGGCGGGGATGTTGTTCGGGTTGCCGACCTGGGTTGGGTGGCGGATGAATTGGTGGTTCTTCTCTTGGGCGATGTCGTTCAGGCCGGAGATGCGGCCCTGGATATCGCCCGACGCGCTGGGGTCGTGGAAATCACCGTTGATGTCGCCAGGGAGCGTCACGGCGAAGCCGGGATAGCCGCCGGCATTCACAAAGCCCGTGTCGTAGCGGTCGCGGAAGGCGTTGTGGTTCCAGATCAGGTCGGGGTTCACCGCCACCGCGGCGTTGTGGGCTGACTGGACCATCGCGCGGAAGCCCTCGCTGGTGCCGTAGCGTGTCTCCGCCCGCGGCTCGCCGAGGTTGAAACGGTCGAACACGTCGTAGCCGACCGAGGCCTGCGAGCCCCCCTCGAACGACAGCGTCGGCGGCGGCACCCACATGCGGCCGTAGCCGACGGCGTGGATGTCGGCCATCCGCTCTTCGATCAGGTCCCAACGCGCCTCGTAGATCTGCAAGATCGCGGGGCTGGAGACGGATTGGGCGCCGCCCAGCGACGAGACGCCTAGCAACACGGCCAAGCCAAAGGCGCGCAGCAGCGACAGTGGGTTGAAGAGCCTGGAGTTCATCGGTTCCGTAGCGAGCGAATCAAGAGAGGCGGCGAGGAGAGCGTCACTTCGCGGTGGTTCCGTCCGCACTGACGCGCACAGTGTCGAGCGGCATGAAGCGGATGGCTTGGCCGCCGCCTGGCGCCAAGCGGACCGAAAGGATCGTGTCGGCGCTCACCTTCAGGGATTCGACGACGTAGGCCGTCGGGTTCTTGAGCCAGTCGGCGTCGTCGGCGTCGCGGTAGACCTGGGCTTCGTAGGCGACGCCCGGGTCGAGGAACGACAGCGGGACTTCCAGCGTTCGGGGCTCTTCGTCGCTGATCGCGCCTAGGCACCAATTGTCGGCGCCGCGTTCTTTACGGGCGGTAACGACGTAGTCGCCGATCACACCGTCGAGCGCCAGGGTCTTCTCCCAATCGGTCGGCACGTCGCAGATAAACTGGAACGCGTCCGGATGCTGCTCGTAGACCTCGGGGAAGTCGCAAGCCATTTGCAGTGGCGCGTAGAGCACGACGTACAACGCGAGCTGTTTGGCGAGCGTGCTGGGGATGCGGTCGTTCTGACGATCAACGCCGGTCGAGAGCGTGATGTCGAAGACGCCGGGCGTGTAGTCCATCGGTCCCGACAGCATCCGTGTGTAGGCGAGGATGGACTCGTGCTCGGGCGGGTTACGGGAGTCGCCGCTCCAGGCGTTGTACTCCTGGCCGCGTGCGCACTCTCGGCTCATCGCGTTGGGCCACGTGCGACGCAGGCCGGTGTCTTTGATCCCTTCGTGGGCGACGACCATGATGCGATGCTTGGCGGCCGACTCGATCACCTTCTGGTGATGGCGGACCATGAACTGGCCATGGCTCCATTCCTTCTGCTCGACGCCGTTCTCGTCGATGCGGCGGATGCCCTGGCCGAACATCACGTAGCCGGTTTTCACTGCTTTGACGCCGAGCCGCTCGTAGAGGTCGAAGGCGTCTTCGAGCTGCGCCTCGTAATGTGAGACCGCGCCGGCCGTCTCGTGGTGACCCACGAGACTCACGTCACGGTCGGCGGCGTAGCGGGCGAGCTCTTCGATGTCGAAGTCGGGGTAAGGCTCGGTGAAGCTGAACTTATCGCCGTTCTGGATCCAGTCGCCATCCCAGCCGACGTTCCAGCCCTCGACGAGCACGCCCTTGAATCCATTCTTCGCGGCGAAATCGATGTAGCGTTTGACGTTGTCGGTGGTGGCCCCGTGGCGATCGCCGGAGCCCCAAGTCGCGCGGTTGACGTGCATCTCCCACCAGACGCCGACATACTTGCCGGGCGTGATCCACGACGTCTCGGCGATCTTCGACGGCTCGTTGAGGTTGAGGAGCATCGTCGAAGCGGCGAGGCCCGACGGCGTGTCCGCCAGTTGAATCGTCCGCCACGGCGAACGGATGGAGCCCTTGCCCTTCACTAGCA